CTCTCACTTCTCTGCAAAACAAACGGGCTCGTCTTCTTTATTAAAATACCCACACCACCTTTTAAACGGGTAGTTGGCAGGGTCATTACTTGATAACCTGCTACCTCTGATACCTTACCCTCCTTGAAATTATGTTCCTGGAGGAACACAACATCCACACTATATTTATTAAGAAACATGCACAACCATTCTCTCTTTATTCTGCTACATAAGCCATTAACATTGACAGTCATACACCGAAAGCCTTTTAAATTTTCCACCCCTGCCTCTTCTCCTCACTCTTTTCACCACTAGAATTAGTATTTCTGTGTGTTATCTTCAGAATACCTTCTTTTCCCCCTCCCTTCTTCGGATGTTTCTTATCATGACCCTCCCCATCGCCACCTCTTCCCTCTCCTACCATCCCAGTCTGCTTCCCAGGCCTCTGCGCTGGCGTCAGTACATCATTCGAGTCTGACGTAGCTGCCATTTTCCTTGTTACAATCATGTCCCCCATAACATGGTCTGGGGAAGCCTCACGTTGAACCTCAACATCCACCTTACAAGGATTTATTAATCCCATTGACGTCTCCATCACATCATCATTCCCCAAATACACAAATAACCCGCACATAAAAGACAGAAGCTTACGACGACGTTTCGGTCCGACTTGGACCATTGACAAAGTCACACTAACAGAGGTGGAGCAGGACGGCTATATATAGGCAGGAAGAGGTGGAGGTAGTAGTAGTAGTAGTAGTAGTAGTAGTACAAGAATTGTATATAATACCGACAGGATGAAATGACACATGCACAACATCCGGGCATCCCCACCGTAGACGTTTCGCCATCCAGCCAGCCACTGGATGGCGAAACGTCCACAACAAAGACAACCAGACGCTGCACATGTGTCTTAATTTCGTCAGTAGTTGTAGTAGAAGAAGAAGAGGTAGTAGTAGTGGTAGTGGTAGAACTGGGAAATAAGGAAGACGAGCCAGTCAAATACAAAGGAAGGGGAGCACTGCAAGAGAGCTAGAAACCCACAGAGGGAGAGCAAGCGCACCGAGGTGCGTGAAAGGGGAAGTGGTGAAATAAAATAAATGAAGAAGGAACAGAAACACGAGACAGGAGAGAGAAAGACCACCCAGAGGAGAAAAGGAGAGAGGAAAGGGGAAGAGGAAGAAGAAAAAGAAGAATAAGAGGAAGAAGAAGAAGAAGAAGAAGAAGAAGAAGAAGAAGAAGAAGAAGAAGAAGAAGAAGAAGAAGAAGAAGAAGAAGAAGAAGAAGAAAAAGAAGAAGAAGAAGAAATGAGGATTCAGGTTAAGTCACGGGTGTTCTGAAGTTTGGAGCATTTTACAATGTAGTGGGAGAGGAAGCTTACCTTCCGCCAGACTAACACTCTTCGCACTAATCTCGTTCATACCTCTCCTCCCTCTACAGATGTTCCTGGTGTCTACTCTATTTCTTGCTCCTCCTGTCCTCTTCAATACTTCGGAGAAACTGGTCGATCTCTTTCTGACAGACTTAGGGAGCACAAAAATAGTGTTAGGCTTGCCGACACTAACAATGCTCTTTTCTGTCACGTCAGAGATCATAGCCATCCTATTGACTGGTCTTCTGCTAAAACTGTCTTCCCTACTTCCAACTCGAACAGTCGCCGTTTAGTTGAATCCTCTCTTATACACAACTTTCCTTGTATGAACCTTAGCCCTGGCTTCGTCTCTGTAGATGCCTTCCTCTCCCACTACATTGTAAAATGCTCCAAACTTCAGAACACCCGTGACTTAACCTGAATCCTCATTTCTTCTTCTTCTTCTTTTTCTTCTTCTTCTTCCTCTTATTCTTCTTTTTCTTCTTCCTCTTCCCCTTTCCTCTCTCCTTTTCTCCTCTGGGTGGTCTTTCTCTCTCCTGTCTCGTGTTTCTGTTCCTTCTTCATTTATTTTATTTCACCACTTCCCCTTTCACGCACCTCGGTGCGCTTGCTCTCCCTCTGTGGGTTTCTAGCTCTCTTGCAGTGCTCCCCTTCCTTTGTATTTGACTGGCTCGTCTTCCTTATTTCCCAGTTCTACCACTACCACTACTACTACCTCTTCTTCTTCTACTACAACTACTGACGAAATTAAGACACATGTGCAGCGTCTGGTTGTCTTTGTTGTGGACGTTTCGCCATCCAGTGGCTGGCTGGATGGCGAAACGTCTACGGTGGGGATGCCCGGGTGTTGTGCATGTGTCATTTCATCCTGTCGGTATTATATACAATTCTTGTACTACTACTACTACTACTACTACTACTACTACTACTACTACTACTACTACTACTACCTCCACCTCTTCCTGCCTATATATAGCCGTCCTGCTCCACCTCTGTTAGTGTGACTTTGTCAATGGTCCAAGTCGGACCGAAACGTCGTCGTAAGCTTCTGTCTTTTATGTGCGGGTTATTTGTGTATCGTTCCAGTCACGGTATTGTGCCTTTTTGTTATTTATTCCCCAAATTCTCATATCGTTAACAAGCTGGAAGCGATAACTCAACAGCTACTTCTTGCTCAGTTGTAACTCCCTCCTCAGGCGGTGACAAGGTCTTCAAAACTTCCTCCAATTCTTCCTCAATTTCCAACACTTCCTCCCGTGGTACCATCCCTGCAGAAGTCACTGAAGGAGATTCTGGGGCAGGAAACTGAGGGGGGGACTCACCCCCAATCCTAAAAGCTTGCTCCACCATCTCACTCCACAAACGACCACGCCCTCCCTCAGGTGATTGATCCTCACCTGCCACTTGTAAGACAGGGGCTGCGTCTTCTACCACAGGTTCAGGCACGCGTCTTTTCTTCTCACATGTCGCAGCTATGTGGTCATACTCACCACATAGGCGACACGTACGCCTTTGCCCGGGATATAAAGCCATGACCTCTGTCCTGAAATCCTGAAGATAAGACGGTATGGGATGTCTCAATGTCATTTTAAGGTTAAAAGTACCTTCTGGCAAACCTGTGTAGGCGCCTGCTACCCACATACCATGCTGGGCAAAATGAACTGTCCCGTATTTCTCGAAGACTTTCCTGATATCAGCTTCATCTGCCTCAAAGGGCACGTTACGTAACTTTACCCAGGTATAATGCCTGGATACATCACTCATTCTCACGCGTACAGCAGGTGTAACATCAAGACTCACGTCCTGGAAACGTGTAATCAACGATTCATAAACTGTTGCAGTGAGCAGTTTCACGAAGATTCTATGTGCTCCATTTACAGCCACTCCATATAATTCTCCATCTTGAATTCCATATGTCTCTCTGATGATCTTAGGTAAGAGAACCTGCGCTGAACTAGGCGAAATCGTCTCCCGGAGAAGCTCAATACTAATAGTATTAATCCAGCGCCTATGACAAACAGCCATGTTGACAGCAGTAATATTCCTGAGGTGTCAACAGAGGCGCAACAGCGCCACCTCACACCACTGCAGCCAGGATACTGAGTAGCGTCTGCACAGTAGATCCACACGGCCCGAGAGGGATGAGGACAATTAAAAGTAGTAGTAATAGTAGAAGCAGTAACAGCAGTAGTACTAGTGGAAGTAGTTGTAGCCATACTAGTATCAAAAGTAGTTATCAATTCATGGCATTGTGTCTTTTTATTCTTTTAAATACTCCGATCATAAGTCTTTAATTACATAGTCCAGCTCAACACAAGATTTAGTGTGTTGAATAAACTTGCTGGGGAGCAAGAATATATGCGAGAGGAGGGTGGGGGACTGGAGAGGTAGAACGGGAAGAGGGAATTTTATTAAAGTAGAAGTGGTAATAGTAGTAGTAGTAACAGTAGAATCAGTAACAGCAGTAGTACTAGTGGAAGTACTAGCAGTAACATTAGTATCAATAGTAGTTGTCAATTCATGGTAGTGTGCCATTTTATTCTTCTAAATATTCTGATCATAAGTCTTTTTAATTACATAGTCCAGCTCAACACATGATTTATTGTGGTGGTTGAATAAACTTGCTGAAAACTATTATATATATGTTAATTGGCAAAAAAATCCTTAAAAAAAGGTCATTGTTTATGTATAGACAACCAGCATTAATTGTTTCCAAACATACTCTTTTTCATATCACTACGAGACAGTATATTGTTTGAAAGCTTTGTGCATAATCTATTCATTATAAATGATGAAATAAGAAAAATAAGCCTTTTTAACCCAATTTTGTCAAAATTCTTTATAGACGTGTTTCGAATAAAATGTGATTACCAACCATTTTCCTGTCACTTTCTTGCAGGTGTTTTCTATTTAGCAGGTTATGATATTAACATATTTATATCTAAATTTTATTTCATCATAGGGAGAATGCTCAAATGTGTGTGAATATTTCTCATGTGCATGTTAAAGTCGCATACTTCAATTTTGAAAATATCAAATAAGCTCCTGAATTTGTCAATGATTAATTAAACTAGTGAGACAGGAAGGCTGTTGTTTATTGCCCCTGTCTGTGGTGATGATGATACTGGCGCCGTTGCTGGCGTAGTTTAATGTACAGTTCTCGTCGCTGGAGTCTCGACAGTTAGGAACACCATCACACTCCCAAATCTATGGGATGCATTTGCGTGACGGCTGACATGTGAATTCTATATCTGAGCATGTTCTCTGTCAATGGACGTATATGTAAAAAAATAAAAAGAGACAAAACCGAGGCTGGAACGATACACAGATATCATGCACAGAACGGAAACTTATGTCGACACGTCGGTCTGACTTGGTCCATTAACTAATCACACAGAGGGGCTCAAAAAAGAAAGAAGCTGCAATATATACGAGAGGAGGGCGAGGGAGAGGAAGAACCAGAAGAGAGAATTTTACTATAGTGGTAGTAGTAGACGTAGCAGTAGTAAAAGCAGTAGTATTAGTAGCAATAGTAATAGTAGCAGAAGTAGCAGTAGTAGTAATAGTGGAAGTAATAATAGTACCAGTAGTTATGGTATTGCGCCTCTTAATTCTTCTAAATACTCCCATCACAGATCTTTTTAATTACCTCGATATTGATGGATGTCGACAGTGATGGAGATGAAGTCGACAGTGACTGCGTGAAGCCACAGTTTTCCTCATCACTTGAGTCTCGACAGTCTTTGGTCTCATCACACACCCATAAACGAGGGATACATTCGCCAGATGACTTACACTTGAACTGGATTTCAGAACAAATTTCCTGTCAAAAGACAAATTTCCTTATATATTATTGGATGTGATGTTAGTATGTTTATTTTTCTGATCAAAAGCGTCCGGTCGAAAGATATCTAGATGTTGCATTCGTGTTTTCTTTGTCAATTTGTCAGTTTTCCAAACCATATTCTCAAATTTGAAAGACACAGTAACATGTTGGCATCGTGATTCAAGGAATTCTTCAAAACATGCCTACTACTTCCACTAGTGGCTTTTTCCACTGGTGATGCTGCCTACCATTGCTTCAACTCATCTGTCTGCAGTAAATAATAAGCTTCATCTTCGCGAAAAGGCTACATTTTAATCAAGTTTATAGGGGTGAATATTTTGACTCCAGGCTGAAGGGCTGATTTCCTCAAACTCCTAATTTTCCACCGTTCTCTGCATTGAATTGAAGAATCCAATGGCTGGCGAATCGTTTCTTGAATAAAAAATACACAAATATTACACAAGTATCTTATTTGATTATTTATGGGGAGAAAAAAAGAGGCAGAGGTAATATAACAGAGAAATTTGCACTAACACTCGTGAATAGTGTCAGGGATGTGCTTTGAATATTACAGTGAGGAGGAGGCTTGACTCAGTAGAGATGTCATGTTTGAGGGCAATGTGCAGCATCAATATTTTGCAGAGAATTCTGAGAGCAGAAATTAGAAGAGGGTATAGTATCACGAAGGAAATAATGAGATGGCTGAGGAAGGGTTTTTCAGGTGTTGTAGCATTTAGAGAAGCTGGAAAGGAAGAGGTGGGGTGAAAGGACAGTGGGGTCGGAGTCGTCTCTCAAATGGTTGGATGGAAAGAGTATAGAACGTGCATGTACATAAGGAAAAGGGACAATTCCGTTACTGGAACAATATACAAATATCCTGAACAGAGAAGAAAGAAACTTATGTTGACGTGTTGGTCCGACTTGGACCATTAACTAGGGCACAGCAGCACAAGGGTAAGGAACCAGTGTATGCATGTATGCTCATACCTGACTGTTAAATGTTTAAACAATATTAAATTACATTGTACCGTACACAGATTACCCGCACACAGGACACTGAAACTTAAGACAACGTTTTGGTCCGATTTAGACCATTAAATGGTGACGCAGAGAAGCTCAAAAGGAAGGGAGCCAGAATATATGAAAGAGGATGGTGGGGGACAGGAGAAGTAGAACGGGTTGAGGGAATTTTATTAAAGTAGAAGTAATAATAGTAGAAACAGTAACAGCACTAGTACTTTTTTTTATATTTTATTTAAAAAACATTACAGCTTAACATAAAATAAAAAAATTAAAATGAGTACAGTATGATCCTCAATCCTACAGAACGTACACTGACAAAATTATAACACAATTTAACTTACACAAAGGTTACACATATACACTCGCCAATATTACCATATAACAGACGTAACATTAAGAAAAAAGAAAAAAGGGTGATCCGAACCCAAAGCTCATTAGAAACCTCAGCAAGAACATAACTTACAGGTCACCTCAGTAACAGGGCAAAAAAATAAATGACATTGTATAAACATCCATTGAAACAAAACCTTTTAGGTTTATATAGCTAACATAATATGACTGTGACATATGACAAAGGTTCACAACCTTCACATTAGTCAACAAGAGGAATGACCTACATCATAATCTCATTAAAACAAGTACATGATCTTCCCCAACTAACAACCTATACAAGAAAATTGCCTAAAAAAAAAAAAAAAAGGAGCCTCCATTTATACTTAATAAATATTAATCAGCGTCTTCCACAGGATGAGCACATTATATAAAGTAAAGAGACAAAACCCCAGTTGTCAGGGTAATGCGTGAAGGACAAGCACAATATACCAAACAAAATAAAAAAGGTGTATATCCTAACAAACAGCCATAACACATTTCATCAATAACAACAAATTAACACCTCAAAAACGTGATCCACATATCTCAAAACAAAATAACATTTAAAATGAATGGGTAAACTTGACCCTATTTCAAAATAAACTTAACAATGACATAACGTACAGTACCAAGGTCAAAAAAAAAAAAAAAATGAAGTATATAAACATCCACTGAAACCCAACCTCACAGGTGTAGTTTACATAATATTACTATGACAAATGACTAAAGTTCAATTCAATAGAAAGAATGTTCACTATAAAATATATCCATTAATCACAACTTTCACATTAGTCATATAAACGAGTGATCTACATCATATTTCCGTTAACACAAGTATGTACTCTTTCCCAACTAACCCACGATACAGGAAAATTCTCTAAAACATACATACGTTCCCCACTACAAAACTTTAAAGAGTCATTACAAAATTTATGGAAGTCATTAGCCTTCCAGCCCTCATCTACAGGATAAGCACATTATATAATGCTAAAATAAAGTCAGTACACTCACTACAAACTCCCTTAATCAGGGCCAGGCGGAAATGAAATGACAGTATACTAAACAGACCATAAAGGAGAATATCATAGCATAAAACTCCATAACACAATACATAGATAACAAAACAAAAAAAATTAACCTCTAATTGCCATACTAATATCGTACATGAAACATGCACAATAAAGGCTATACATATATACATTCTACATAGACCCAAAAAGCTCCTGCAGTTCTTACACCTATAATCTTAACACCATTCGTCGCTCGACCTCTGTAGTGAGCGGACGTGCGTTATACTGCCCTCTGCTGGCCGTTGAAGCAAGCTGAGATTTTCTCAATATGGCGGTGCAGCCACGGAGGCGGATCAACACTGTCTGTTTTGAGTTGGTGCGTGGGGCTGTGACAGCCCAAACAGCTTCTGTTCTCCTGCCAGCCATCATCAGGGAGACTTATGGTGCCGCTGATGAAGAACTTTATGGACTGGCGCTTAATGGGGCCTATAGGGTCTTCGTTAAGCTCCGAACAACGAGTGTTTACGAGCAGTTGGTCAACAAATATCAGGATAATTGTGTGGCTGTCTACCCGGCGGTCACAGTGAGGCTCATCGACGTATCACGTTACTTCACTTGGGTTAAGGTACGAAATGTGCCTTTTGAAGCCGATGAGACGGATTTACGGCAGGTATTCAGCAGGTATGGAACTGTACATGTGGCGACTGTCGGCAAGTGGACGGAGGGTGCATATGCTGGCCTCCTTGAAGGTACCTTCTCACTGAAGATGTCTTTGAAACATCCCATACCGTCGTATGTAGTGATGAACGATTTTCGTACGCAAGTGATGGTGTCCTATGCTGGGCAACGCTGCACTTGTCATCTTTGTGGAGAGTACGATCACTTTGCAGCACAATGTGGTCACCAACAGTGGAAGAAGGACATAAGGCGGCCACCAATGGAAGAGCCCATCCAGGAAGTGACTGTGGTGCCTGAGTCGGGTGCACGTCCAAAGACGTCATTGTGGAGTGAAGAGGTAGAGCAAGAGGAGCTGATTGAGGGGTCTTGTGTGACTCTACCTGGAGATCCTTCCTCTGTTGGCCCAGTTATGCTGGGTGAGGAGGGTAGGATGCTCATGGAAGAGAGAGTGGACGACACATTAGTGACTGTGCTGAAGAGAGTGTTGGACACACCTGGAGAGGTGGAAGAGGAGGGGCTTGAATTATCCCTTGGGAATGTGTCTTGTGTACAGTCCCAGGATGTAGAGGAGCTGGTTGAGAAACAGGCTGCTGGGATGGATGTCATCACCGTGGAGGTGGTGGTGCATAACGAAGACCTTCTGGAAGTGGCTATGGAGACAGTGGAAGGATCATGCAAACGGGCGGCGGCATTGTCAGACTCTGATTATGTCCTTACCTCGGCACAGAGGCCAGGCAAGAAGGTGTGGGCAGAGGTGGCATGGGGCTGCCCTAAGGGGCCAAGGGGTCAGGTGGCAGATACTGGAAGACCTCCAGTGTCTGGTAGTGTACATGGTGGTAGACGCCGGCAGGCGTCTAAAGCTGGATCAGTGCCGACAGGGCAAAAGGTATAGCTGGCTTGAAGTGTGTCTCAGTAAATGTAAATGGGTTGCGAGACAGAGTGAAGTGTATGTGGTTTGTGGGTTTCCTTCATAGGTATGGAGTGGATGTAGCTTTTGTGCAAGAGCACAATTATAAAGCCAGGTGTGAGTTAGTACTGGATGGATCTTGGGCGTTTGTTGAGCATTCAACTCGATTGAAAGGGGGGGTTGCCATCCTTCTGTGAGAGACCAGCCCATTTGTTGTGTATCATAGTGAGGTAGGCTATGGATGGGGGTGAGGGTGGCGCTAGTGTGTGTATATGGGCCCACAGAGGGGGATGGATGTGTCAAGACTGCCTTTGTGAGGGATGTGTTAGTGTACCACCTCCGGTCGCTCCCCCCCATGGCGGTTGTGGGGGGGGTGACTGGAACTGTGTGGTGAGAAGGAAGGATGTGGAGCCTCGAGGGGCTGGGTTTCACTCTGTAGTGTTAGGGGATCTTTTGCGAGGGGTGGGGTTGTGGGATGTGGCTACAGGAGAGGCGTGGTAGGTGGAGCACACGTTTGTGCAAGGAGGGTATGCTGCTCGTCTGGACTGTTTGTATGTAACGCAGGCTACAAGAGTGGAAAGGGTGTGTGTGGTGGAAGTAACATATTCAGATCATCGGGAGGTTTTCGTTGAAGTGGGGTGGGACGGGTTGCCTAGGAGGCATAGGAGTTTTTGGAAATTGAATGTTTGGCTCCTTGCAGATGGAGGGGGGAGGGAGGGGTTTGCGCAATTGTGGAGGGAGTTGTGGTCAGGGATGGGGGATGTTGGGGATATGTTGGCGTATTGGGATGGAGTGGCAAAGGAGAGGATCAGGGCGTATTATGTTAGACAGGGTAAGGGGGAGGCTCAGATGACTTTTGGGTTTATAAGATATTTAGAGGGGTGGTTGTGGGATTGTAATGGGAGAGGGGTGGGGGGCAGGGGCTATCCTGTGGAGGAAATAGAGGGGCTGAAGCAACGCATCAGGGAATTGCAGAATGAGAAGTTTAATGCAGTGCGGGTTAAGGG